GGGTCGCTCCGGCGCCGCCCCCCGCGGCTCATCCCTGCCCGACCGCTCTTAAAAATATGCATATATCTCTCAGAACTTCTTCCTTGCTTACCTCCTGTTGCAGTCACTCCGCTTTACACGAGCGCCCAGCCGTCTGAGCTTTCCTGTGGGCGGGCGAAGGTGCTCTGGCCAAAACAAGATCAAAAGAACTTCGTTCCCTGACCTCAGTGTTTCCTTAGCTCTTCCTTCTACTTCACTCTTCTACCACGCTTTTCTGGTATTCACTCCTATGGCTGCAGGAATACTTTTCCTGTATTCACTCTTCTCCTCACCATGCTCACTGCTGTCAAGAATCTCGTTTTATATTCACGTGTTAATGGATGAGTTTGTTTTCAATTTTGTTTATAGTTGTAGAGTTTATAACTGTAGCCAAAAGACAAGTATTTAATGCCTAATCTCCACGCGAAAGGGAGAATCATGATTTTTTTTTCATTGTATGATAATTTTTTTCATTGTTCATTGCATTCAACTGTTCACAAAAGTTAAAAAAAGAGGTATTTATCAGTGCAAAAAGGTAACAGCCAGCACCTGTCTGTGACAGCCCTCTGATGTTCCTCAGAACCTCTCCTTCCTCTAATTCTGTGCAGTGGTGGGTGAGGTGAGTGGGTAATGTCTTTGAAATTGTTGAACTTTAGAGGTGAATGGGCAGTTCCCGAATGAAGGAGTGTGGATAACGATGAGGTAAAAAGATGCTGACTTGTTGGAAGAGTAGTTTTCAAGGGTTAAGTGGAGCAATTGGCCACAGCGGGCATAAAAAGCCTGAAATGGCAAAATTGTGAAGATTGTGATATGTCTTTTCAGGACTACAAATGCTTTACTAGATATGTGAGTAGCTGAGTATTGCACTGCTCATCCTAAGCTTCTGATCTGCTCCTAAAACTGATGAGTGCTGGACAGTGTTTGACTACAATACCTATGGACTAAGGAAAAGTTCAGGAAACTCCTTTGTGATAGTTCATCTTGAACTACAAAAACGAACTACAGAAATAGTTAATATCAAATTGTGTCACAGACTTCCTTATTCAGCATTTATGTGTTTGTTTGTGCTGTTTTTTCAGGTGTCCACCTCGCCCCACTCGAGGCAAAGGCACCCAGAGATGGGCAGTGTGTGAATAGTTTGCTGCTGTATCTTCAAGCATCTGGTACGAGTTTTCAGTTCCTCGTTCCCTTTGAGTTCCAAATTCCCTCGCCACGGGAAGCTGCTTCTTTTCTAGGGTAAGATGCTGTTCCTCAGCTGGCAGAGAACACTTCCACTCACTCTGTGGGAGGCCATGAGGCACTGCCTTCTCCTGAGTGTCTACATTCCCCTTGGCATCAAATTTAGAAAAGAAAGATATCGTGCCACATTATTTTTTCAGTGTGTCTCACTCTAGCCACAGGCAACCTACGTGTTTAACTCTGAATCATGTTTTCTTGTACACACTGTCTATGAAAACTTTCACGTTCAAAGTTTTTTTTTTTACAAACACCACATCAAGACTTAAAAATATTTTTTTAATAGATACAGTTTCTGAGAGGAGTTTTTCTGCCTTATTTTATCTTTACGTTTCCTTATTTAGAGTTTCCTTTAGAGGTTTGCAACAGAAACGTTATTCCATGAGAAACAGTCTTGTTGCCAAACAGTAGCAAGTGTAATAATATCTGTGATTTTGGTGGGGTTTTTTTTCAACACAGAAAATGGCAAAGTGTTTTGGGGCTAGTTGGCTTTTTCTTGTACAGTTGCTGGATGCTTTGGCCCATTTTGTGATGTCTCAGTATTGGGTCCTTTTTCACCTGTGTCACTCCAGTGACCTTCCTGATGGCTCACACATGAGGTGTGTTCTTTCTTGTTTTCTGAGGATTTGCTTACATTTATTCTGTCTGCTGTATTTCCTTTCCTTTATCTATATGGTCAGTGCAAAGAACGGGATAGCTGGCAAACTCCAGGAAGAGCAAATTGAACCAAAGTTACCTTTTTTTTTTGCCATCTTTTTCCTTTTAATGTTTTTCTTCTATTATTTTGTAAATTAGATTTGGAGGGGATTTCAGCCTGTGGGCAGTTCCTCTCACAACAGTAGTAGCAGGATTGTTGTAACAATATTGTTCTGGAAGGCAAATGGTTACAAAAAGGTGCTGGCAGGGTCAGTTCAGCTGATTCGCTCATGTGCTTTGTTTGCTCTCAAGGAGAACATGAGCATTTGGACAAAGAGGTGATGCTCTGGCACGTTTTGTTGCAACTCTTCTTTGTATTATTCCTCCTGTAAAAATTAATGAGAAGACGTTACCAGTCCAAATATTGTTCTTCAGGAGCAATGTTATAAGGAGCTGAGAAGCTCAGATGGTTTTCACTTGGTGGCTGCCATTTCCCTTCAGCATCTCTTCTGAACTAGTTCTGGCAGCTGCTCTTTCAGTGATTTCTGAGTTCCATCTCCTGCTGGGATTCTTCTTATAGTTTCTCTTCTATGTTTACTTCTATAGAGTGGCACTTACTGCCTGGCTGAACTGAAATACGGTGTCTCAGGTGGTGCAGAGCACTGTCCCTTGCATTGTGCTTCTCAAAATCAGTAAAGGTGTCAGGGTTTACTCTGATAAGATTGGAAAGCTTCCAGGGCTGTTTTGTGCAAGAGAGAATGATAGTGGTGTGGCACAAGCCATGATGGTATTCCAATGGTTTTTTTCTGTTATTTTAAAATTTAATTTATTTTATGCATCTTTCTGCTTACTATTACTGTACAGCTGATAAAAGCTCTAATTTTGACCTTTTTTTCAGGACAGAGCTGAAACATTTTATTAACTATATTAAAGGTTATTTTCAGTAGTTACTTGGAGAGTGGTTCTCAGTTCAAACTCATTTTAACCTGGTTACTGTAATGGCCACTTTACTTCTCACTGTTTGCCATCCTTTTACTGATTTTATATCTTACTGCTTGGATATTAATATGATATTTAGAAAAAAAATCATGTAAGTAATTGGGAGTTTTCCTTCAGCCAGTACATGGAATTGTGCCCTCATTACTTTCACATTTTCTCATAGTTATTTTGAAATCTTCGGTCTCAGCATTTGAATATTTGGAATGGAAGCCCTGTGTTTATTGAGTTCAACATGGTTACTATTGAATCTTAAGATCAAGATTACCTGTGCTATGTTGTGTAGCTGTAAAGTGGGTGTTTGTCTTGTTTTGCACTTATTTGAAGCTAAATAGGCATAATGACTGCATTTTGAAACATTTAAGTTGTAGTGCCTGATAGAGACACATATCCCCAACCTGCCTTTTGTCCTGAAATTTTGACAGCTCTGTCTCAGTACTTACCAATAACTTGAAGTATGCAGTGACAAATGTGTAGGTCTTCCTCAGTTTTTAGTATTTTCCTACACCTCTCGTACAAAATTGACCAGATTTGTCCATCTTAAGAGACTAATGCTTTAGGAAACTTTAGGACATAAAAGGCAGCTCTATTCTCCGTGTGGTTTCTGTTGCAGTTCATCTATTGCAGGCAGAAGCTCCTGACACTGGTTTTCTGTTTTGATTTGGAAGCTTGAACTGTGTTGTTTGGGTGCTCTGTCTCCTGCCATCACACTGAGACCCCATTTCACCTGACTTCTGCCCAGTCCAAGTCTCTTCTTTGTCTGTTCCCTCTCTTCCTGTCCTGTGTGAAGATGGAATGTATTTTATTTTTTTTATTCCTAGTTTTTTGTAGGTATTAATTTGGTATCTTAGGACCCACTGCGTGTCTTCTGAATCCCAACTCTGTGTGGTTGGCTGGAAAGACTTTCATGAGTTTAACCTAATTTTCTACTTTTGACAAGTGAATGTTTAGCTCCTGTTTGTGTGGAGGATGATGAGCTTCCCAAGTAGCTTCAGTGCTTTGACATTAATTGTTGTCAGTTTGGAAAAAAATCTTGGCAATTAATTGAACGTTTCTTCTTGAGCCCAAGGGAGGGTGTGTTTAATTTCCAGCATGAATTAATGCTTCCTGAGTTCCTTGGAATGGTCTGAGGCAGGGTCAGGGGCTGTGCAGCTGAATGCACTTCACTCAGGGTCCCAAATTAAGCAACCTAGTTCATATTTGGGATAAGCAAGAGAAGAGGATCTCTGAAGTTCACTTTACTTTTGTGCAACCACAATAAGGCTCAGGTTATGTTGCTTTAAGTGTGTTGTAGTCTAAAATTTTAAGTATACATGTGTATGTGTTTATATAATTATATATATATATATGTATGCATCTTCTGTGCGCCAAAAGCCGTAGTTTGTTACTTAAGAGTTCTAACTTTGTATTTCATATGGTAGATGTGAAGTGCCCGAACAGTTATGAAGTTCACTAAAAGAAATCAACACAGGTAGCTAAGTAATTCTCCTTTAAATACGAATTTTCCTTGGATTTCTTAAAGCAAAGAGTAGGGTTTGAAGAACAGCAGTGCTGAAAAAAATGAGTAATAGATGTAAAAATCCTTCTTGATTGGTGTAGAGATCTGAGTGTTTCTCCAGTGCTGATCACTGTTAATTGATATTTTTATAGGACCAGCTTACTTTGACCTATCATGGCATCCAACAAATTTGTCATTAAGGTAAGTAGAATGTCATAGCTTTAAAAAAAAAATCTGTAATATTCCTTAGAATATATATGTTGATTTTAAAAGTTAATGATGAAGAGATGCATCCTTCAGGCTTCTGGTCATAGTAACGTGCTCTGTATCACCTTTTCTCTCTGGAAGCAAAGTTTGAATCATTTCTGTGTCATGGCAGAGTGTGTCTGAGGTCAGCTGAAGATTAAAATCATGTAACCAAAAGTGATTAGTTGTGTGGTTAAAATTAGAAACTGCGTGAATTTTCAGTGAAACAGTACTTGCTACCTGAAATAAAATTCTTTTCTTACTGTAGTGTTGTTTTTTGTGTACTTCCCAGGTAATCTAAGTTCCTGGTTTTAAGGTGTAGCAATGTTCTGAAACTATTTATCATGCTTGACACTTTATTTGCCTCTTTTTTTTGCCTCTTTTCCCATTTTCAGGGATTAGTTGTTTCACATCCAGTAAAATGCCATTGAAGTTTATTTTGCAAACAGTCCCAGACTCTTGATTACGTATCTGAAGCCTAATGCTTTTCAAAACATTCTGTTATAAACATAGCACTTCATAATTCCTCTCCTGTAACTGTATCAGTTTATCAATAAATAACACTAATTGGGATTAGCACAATATATTATTCTCTTGGAAATGTTTTTTCAAGGAATTTTCTGAACAGAAGAGGCTTTTTCCTTTGTGGATAAGCTTGGGGTTTTTTGGAGGGCAGCTACAAAATCCTTGCTGAGTGATGAGGGTGTGGAAGCTGTTGAAGCTTGGTTTTGTGGGTAACCAACCTGTTCAACACGCAGACCAAGCGCTTAATTTTTTGTGTGCTGCGTGTTCTTTTCCAAGGAAAACTACTGTCATTTAGTGAGATTTTACTGCTTAACAGGATGGTAAACCTTTCATTGACAGTATCATGTCTATGTTATTCAGTGCTGCTGAGCTGATAGAGGAGTTAGGAGAAATATCTTTGATTTAGAGCACATTTTAGCTGATACTCTGAGTCTGTAGACCACTGGTGGGGGAACAACAGGAGCTGCAGGCTGAGGGGATTTGCTTTTCTCAGCTGAGAACCCTTGATGTCATCAAAATGAATGTAAATGCCCAAGAAAACAAGTGGTGTGAGTTGAAATGTCCTCACTGGGTAAAAAGCATTAAGATACTTTGTTGCTGACCTGCATCATTACAAGTTCATTAATGAGCACAGACATGTTACTTTTCAATCACCCAGCGTTTCAACATCCCTGCCTGCCTGAGCAATGGGCAGTGCTCACTGAGCAGGTGTTTGTGGGTAAGCAGCACCACAGACACAGCTTTTGAGACTGCCAATGAGACACAACTTTTGCTTTCTGGTGGTATTTGAGAAATAAGGGTAAGTTTTTGCATTTTTCAGCAAATGTTGAAAATTAGCTTCGCCTTGACCTGATTGACATTCACTTTGTACACAGGTGTGTAACATTCTACTTGTTAGAGCAGGGATTTTGTGTGTCAGGTTTTGCTTCTTTACATTCACTGGATTTGTATTTAATGTGAATATTCTCTTTTTTAAGACTGTCCAACTTTCACATAAGTTTTATGAGGAATATCCATGTGTAGAAGATCCTCCATTAAAACCCAAAAAATTCTCACCCTTCTCTGCAGTGGGAGTACAGAAAATATTCTTAATTTTATGTGTTTGAAATTGATAGGATCATTTTACTGAGTCTGAAAATGTTCAGGACAGACCTGTTAGAGGTGAGTCTACAGGAGGGCCATGAAGATGATACAGGGATGGAGCACCTCTCCTATGAGGAAAGGCTGAGAGGACTGGGATTGTTCAGCCTGGAAAAGAGAAGGCTTTGGGGTCACCTAATTACTGCCTTCCATTACCTGAAGGGGGCCAACAAAAAAGATGGAGAGGAACTATTTACAAGGGCCTGGAGTGACAGGACAAGGGAGAATGGCTTCAAACTGAGAGCAGGTTTGGATTAGGTATCAGGAAGAAATTCTTCTCTGTGAGGGTGGTGAGTCACTGGCACAGGTTGCCCAGAGAAGCTGTGGCTGCCCCATCCCTGGAAGTGTTCAAGGCCAGGTTGGATGGGGCTCTGAGCAACCTGATCTAGTGGGAGGTGTCCCTGCCCATGGTACAGGGGTTGGAATAAGGTCTCTTCCAACCCAAACCATTCTGGATTCTATGTCTCACACACACCTCGCCTCATTTTCTACAGTCTGTATCTTTTAAGTTTTTAGAATCTGTAAATGTGTGTATGTTAATCTTTTTGGTAAGAAAGCGAAAATTACAACTTATCAATCTTTCAGGTCTTAGCTGACTGGCAAGTAATTAAGTGGGAAACCCCTCTAATGTGTTTAATGAGTTGTTACCAATTTTATCTGGGAATCTCCGTACCCCGGTGTGATGGCCCCTTATTACCAGTAGAGGGAGCAGTTGGCCTGTTTTTGAGAGGCGATCTAAGCTTGGCTTTATGGGCAATTAAGAGGGATTGAAATAAACTAATTGATGCAGTAAAATACCTTTAAACCTTAGTACAAAAACTACAGTTAGGTCCTAAACACACTTTCTTCACCTTCCAAGTGGCTGCATTCTGCAGTGTTGTGATTTGCAGTAGGTAATATTTTATGCAAATTAATTTGATCAGCAATTGTCAATTTTAGGAAATATTGATACATATATAAAGCATTGCGTGGTAAAATACCCCCAACATATGAATTTAATTAAGCTTTCTTTTTGTGTTGCTAAAATATTTTACTGCTGTTCTGGGAAATAAATCTTAACTTTAATTGGTTAGGCTTAAAGCAAAATCATGAACCCTATATGGATTTCAAAAATAATATCACTAGGGCCCTGTTTAAACCTTTGGACAAAGTAGAAAGAGTTGCTCTTCCAGAATTGTGTAAATTGACTTTATTCATGCCAAGCTGCAGAACTAAATATAGTAATTTTTATGGCTGCAATAGAAAAATTTCATTTACTGTTTTCTGCAATTTGTTCATTTGCCAAACACAGAAGACTTTAAGTTGTTACTACATTTTAATAACTCAGCTCAAAGGGAAGCTTTTTTTATTCTACTGTTTCCTACTTTGAGAAATGTGGAGCTCTGTTCTGTCTCAGATTTGTAGGCTCTTGCAAGCACATAGATAAGCTAATTATAGTTTCAGTGTTCTCTCTGGTCATCCAGCTCACTCTGCAATTGATTTTTCAGCAGTGTTGCTCCTCGTTATCAATCTAAATTATTGCATGCTGGACATATATACGTAACTTTTTTGATCCTTTCTCCTTCAAACTTCTTGCTTGCTTTAAATGGCAAGTTCATTTGAAACAGCAAGCACAGTTTTCTGTTTTATATTGGGAACACAGATGAGATGACTGGACAGCAAAATGACAGTGGGAGTGTAATGGGATCACTTTTCCCCTTCATTTTGCCTCTGTGTGTGTGTGTGTCATGTTCTTTATTTTATGTTGATTTATCTTAATGTAATTGTTAAGATACTGACTTATAACCAAAGGCATCTTAACATCTGTCTTTGGATATGTTAGAAGTGCTCCATGAAAGGAAGTGTGTGTAGCAAGAACACTGATTATAGGCCCTAACATTAGGAAGAAGGAACTGTCCCATCAGACAACGCTCCAGTATGGATTCAGTGCTGTCCAGGTCATTTTAGGGCCTTTTCACAGACCTGTAGATGGTCTTGGGTCTGGAATGAGAAAATGAGAAGTTTATTTTGAAGTTTATTTTGATATTTCAAGTGCTTTCTTTTTTTAGCTAATGGTAGAAATGTAATACTGTGACAGCGTGATCAGCTCTGCCTGTCTGGATGATTCTTGGGTGATGTCTAGGCTTGACAGGTTAAATTTCTCATTTCTGTGAAGTGTGTCCATTGATTCAACTGATCAATATTTCTGTAAATATTTGCTATTAAACACAACAAATATTTTTGTAAGAAAGTGATGTGTTTGCTTCTTCTTGGGAGTTGTTTGGAGAGTAAGAAACTAGGGAGATGAGTAGGTTTTCTTACCTGATTTTGTTATTTATCTCTGATCCCATATAATGAGTGATGAGGGACAATAGATATGTTTACTGCTTAGATTAAGTCCATGGACACATGACTGCAGTGCTCTCAGGTGGAGAATAAGGAATGGTGTTTGTATTTAAGATAATTTTTTGTGTGTTGTGGCTGCTCTGTTATTAGACTGATAGCACAGCTGCTTGTTCTACATACAGAGCTGGGAACTTGTTAGCATTCTGATTTCTGGTTTTAGCTAGATAAGGTTTTGGGTTTCTTTGAGAGTACTTACTTAAATTAACTAATAAATACAATGTTTTCTGATGTTCATTTCTTTTCCCCATTCAAAACCAAGACATTTGTATGTGAAATTCGTCTGGTTGGAGTACTGACAAATATTTCAAAGGAAACAAGCTAAGATTAGGTTTCTGTGATTAGATAAAATTTGTAGAAATATTTTAAATTTTAAAACTAAGGTACCGGTTCTCCAAACTGATTAAAGGTTACTGAATTTTATATGTGCTGTGTGTCTTTAAAAATGAATAAATAGCCATATTAACCATTAAATAATGATTTTTCTAGAGCAGGGGTTTCCCTAAAGCAGCATTGCTCAGAATAGGAGTGGTTGGGTGGTTGGAATTGATACTATCAAGGAACATCTCACACTTCACTCAGCTGTCAGGTTTGTTTCTGTGTGAATGCATAAAGTATAATAATTATCTAAAAGGGCTTAAAAGTCTTAAGGGAGATGATGAAAAAGAGGCAGGGAGGGATATGATTTAAAATAGGAAGTACAAACAATAATAATGGATGGAGGGACATCTATTTAGTTCTCTTTCTTAATGCTCCACTTAATTCCCAATTTCATGGGACCAGATATGGAATGGCTAAAGTGATGAGTAAATAAGTTCCAGAAGAAAGAAAAGAGGAAGTTGGGAAGTAGAGGAGGGAGGAAAATTAAGTGTACAATCTAATTCTAAATCTCCTGGAGTCAATGGAAG